CTCACCATCCAGTTACAACCTGCTTCTCTCGCGAGCAGCCGCGATTCTCCCGCGACCGAAGAGACGACACACGTATGCGCGCTCCCTCTCTCCTGCTCCCATACAACAGCCCTCCTTCTCATCCAGCGGTATTTTATGCAGATCCGCAGCATGGAATTTCATTCCGTTCTACAATGCCGCGATTCTTTCGAAAAATCACGAGATCATCCATTTGGATTTGAATTTGCATTCGCGAAAAACATTGATTTCTTTTCCTCGTCTATTATCGCGAATGAGAAAAAAAGAAGTATCAATTAAATAATGATAAATAGAAGATTAGAATTCTCCCTATTACGTTACATCGCTCTGATAGCATAATCTTAAAATAGTCGAATAATTGATACCAGTCATCGAAAATGAAGTAAATTGAAAAGAATTTGTGATGTTATATTTACATCTTAATGTTTTAATATTATCAAATTGATATATTCTCCGAGGAGGATACATTCTCCTGTGAGTTGGAAGATTTTCAGTAATAATTTTAGATATCTGCTAAAATTCTATTAATCTCTTATAATAGTGATATAATAAGTAGATATATGAGGAAAAAGATTATAATCATGATTCACGGTATATAATCTTGTATATACTCTTTCAAACATATAATGCATAATACATATAATCTTTCTCCGAAATAATAGTAATAAATTTTTAAGTAACACAAGCAAAGTTTTGCTTTAATACAAAAACGCTCTCAAAATAACATTAAAAAAATGTAATTAAATTTTTATTTCAGCACATACTCCATATTCTTTGTCCATTAGTCTTAAATTTTCTTAAATTGAATCACAATGATTCTAAGATTATATTTATCATGATACAAAATTAACTTTACTGGATCAAATTCATCTCATCTTTTTTTAATATTCGAAAAATTTCATCAATGATCTTAATCTTATCACTGATTGAAACAATTAAGAATATTACAAACTCAAAAAAATTTTTTTTATGTTTTGTATATTGTCAGTAAAATAATCTAACATAGCTTTCGGGAATCAAGTCACCGATGAATTAGATTCAAGAATTGCATTAACGCAGTAAAACGCATCAATGCAATTTCCATATATGGCGTGGATGCAATATTTAATAGTGATTTGTATAACTATAACAGTCAATCACCTCGTAAATGTAATCGAGAATAGCACTATCGTACCACATCGTAGTATCGAAGCTTGCTTTATTATCTATGTATTTTTTTTCGCACTGTACGAACTGGCTATAATTCAGATACGACTCTAGATAAACATGGTGAGATCAAATCACGATTTCACAGTACAACTTGAATCTGTAAATGTTCGCGCTGTATGATCGCAAGAATTATGAGACTTATTGTTCTGATAAATTCAATATTCTATTAATTCTAAATTTTGAAAATCAAACAAATGAAGCTTCTTAAAAATATGTATGAGTGTAATTACCTGTTGTAGTTCGAAGCAATCTGCCGAATCTGTTACGAACACTGTTCAATCTGTAGTATCAAATTTATCTATTGTTTTAGTATAAAATAATGATATATAGTATAAAATAATGATATAGAGAAGCAGTGGCGACTTAAATTAGATTAAATTTGGTACTATAGATTTAATAGTGAATAATTATATTTTTTTCCGATGCAACATATATTGACATATTTTGTGAATTATTGCATGAAATAATAAAATATTTAATCTTCATGTTATAATAATTAATATAATTATTTTTTAACCTGAATACTGGAAGGAAATGAGTATTTGATAATAAATTCACCTGCATTATTTTAAAAACGTAAAATCATAGTGTAAATATTCGGACCGATAAAATGTTCATTAAGTATTCCATTAAAAATATATTGTATATAACATTTAATTAGGATTTTGCACATATCACATATTTATATTTATATTATTATATTATTATTAAAGAATTCGAAATCTGGATCCTTCATTACGAGTTGAAATAATAATGAGTACAAGATACGCTCTTGCTCCGGTGATTTTAATGCCTGATTGTGTCAGTGATTTCAATATGCACATATAAGACGAATCGCTCACTTATGGAAATATCTTTTGCTGTCTTCTAGAAATGAATATGATTTTTTTCATTATAGAAATTGGACTGGCGCACTTATATGTAATAAATATTAAATATATTTAATATTTTTCTGATTGGTCAATTCTCCAAATATTTGATTAAATAATTGAAAGGATATTGATTTTATAATAATAATTAATTACTATTTGAAAAAATTATTACAACTTTTCATAATAATAGCTTGTTATTCATTTTTTGTTTGTTATTTAAGTTTTGCCTCACTATTCTATTCAAAGCATTCGATTTCGTATCGATCGTGAAATTCGTACAATAATGATCGCCTGAATCGATATGACTCATCGATCTGCAAAAGAAACCAACAGAAAAGTTATTCGCGAGATACGCAAATATCCGTTCCATTGTCGTGTCAGTCGCATCGCAATTCTCGATCTTCGCAACGCAATCGATTTCCTTGTTCATTTCGCCTTAAGTCGAAACAAATCACATGCCATTTTCTATCGCCGTCGTCGCATGGAATAATGTTGGAGAGGACCCCGTTACGAAGTAGGAGGTACCCGATCAGCGACCAATAGTAAGAGCCGCCACCCACGAAGTAATAAAAATTAATTTATCACACAGATCGCCGCCTACGCCATTGCTCCGTTCACGTATACGAGACTCCGCAGCATCCCGCAGATAGCGCCACTTGTCAGGTTACCTTTTCATACTCTGCATCCTCTTCTCACAGACTTTAAATTAAACATTTGACATTATTGCGCACAAATTTGCATTAGAAAAGTATTTGATCTCGAACAAAAATTAATTTAATTTATTATATAAAAATATTATTTATAATGATAATAATTATTAATAATATTTTTAAACGCTATACCTCTAATTATTAATTTTAATTAAAAAATTAAAGAATATATATTATAATCGTGTTATGTGTTTTATTTACGTACTTTATAAATATTGTATATTACTTCAAAAATTTAAGATTAAGAATTAAATAAAATTTAAAAATGTATAGCCATTATTCTAACCTTTTGCAATTTTATATCAAGTTGAATTTAATTCAATGACTTGATAGTTTTGTGTATAGCTTTCTAAACATTCGAATTAGTGTATGATAATAAGCAAAGTATATTTGTAGAATTTTCATAAATCGTTCTAAATAGTAATGAAAAATTCTTTATTTTATATTAAATCTATCAATTATATTAAATAGAGAATAAAACATTTCACTTGTTATTCGCTTGATTTTTAAAAGCAATTTGAGTTGAATAGGATTAATTAAAGCAGAGTGAAAATTATAGTCCTAGATGGCAGCAGGTTCCAGTAAAGACTTTGAATGCATAACGTTTATTCATTTCTTGTTGAGATTGCTTTTGTGTCTTAATCAATATTTTAAGACTTTCACTTATTACACAATATATAAATATTACGAAATATAAACAACACATTTGTTAAATATTTTCAAATTGTGCATACATATAGGATGTCACGTAAGTTTTTGCCAACCGTTTTTGTGTAGATAGAGCATTAAAACTTGAATTAAAGTCCTTTATCATTTTGAAATTTTCACAATAGTTAACAAGATATTAATTATTAAAAATTGCCGAATATCAGTCTTCAATAATTATTTACTGAAATACTATCAACTTTACAGAAAAACTGCAAGAGACAAAAATCATTTTTTTTCCTCATAGAATTCTAAAAATTTTTTCTAAGAATTTTTTTTCTTAACATTTTAGTATTGCATTTTCTTATTTTTTCCAACATGAGAAAATATGTTATTAAAAAATTCTGAAAAAATTCTGAAAAAATTCTTAGAACTTTATGAGAAAAAAATAAAAACAATTTTGTCTCTTGCTGTTTTTCTGTAAATTGATAGTATTTGAGTAAAAAATGATTAAAAATATTTAGCGACTTTAGTAATTAATATCTCATTAATTATCGCGAAAATTGCAAAATGGTAGAAGACTTTTCGACTCAGTTTAGTTCACTCTATCTACTCAAAAGCGATTGAGCACTTACGAAACTCCCTGTATGTATATTGTCAACGACAAATGCGATTGGCTAATTCCATTGGATTAAAGTTAATCGAAGTGGCCTTAAATATCTAAAAATCGATTCTGTTCTGATCTTGAAACGAGGTGAAAATTATAAAAATGAGCAAATTTACTAGAATACTAATAATTTTATTGATCAACATCTAGTAAATTTGTTTACTTTTGTAATTTTTACCTTGTTTGAAAACAGAATCGACCCCCTGAATATATTCAGATATTTTTGTTGATATTTTTGTTCAATATTGTCTTCTAACAAACAACTCGATGCAACACAGTGATCTATAATATGCACCAGAGTGCACATTGAATTTGTCCAATCAAATTCGCTATACATACATACATGGCTATATTCAGATTCCCACTCGAGTGTCATCCAGGATCGATTGTATATCTTGAAATAAGGTGAAAATTACAAAAGTGAACAAATTCACTAGAATATTCATAATTTCATTGGTCAATACCTAGTAATCATTGCTCACTTTTGTAATTTTCACTTCATTTCAAAATACACAATCGATCCTTAAGGGATCAATTCTGTATCTTGAAACGAGGTGAAAATTACAAAAATGAACAAATATTTACTAGATGTTGATCAATGAAATTATCAATATTCTAATAAATTCGTTCACGTTTTATAATTTTCATTTCGTTTCAAGATGCAGTAATCGATCCCCGGTATCGATCACTTCATTCTTGTTATTTATCGAATATAAAACGGCGAACACAGATTCTTACATAACGTATAACACATAAAACATAAGAAATTCAACCAATCAGAGTTCTTTATGTCATAGAAAGGAAGGAAACGGAGGACTTTGATTTATTTTCTTACGTGTTATGCATTATGCAAGAGTCTGTGTTCCCCACTGTAAATAAGGATGACATAACACTGCGGAGAACAGGGTAGGAATCCGAACACATGATGTGCCTTCCAACAAACAACACAAATGACACAGTGGCTGTGGTCAAAGTTTTGCAACAAATGCTTTGAAGCATTTGATGCAATTAGAAGAAAGAATATTATAAATTGACTAATTAAAAAACGCTTCAAAACGTTTGCAACATCGCGTTGACTGCACCCGGTGTGACACAATGGATCATTACATCCTTGTTGTTTGCCAATGTTAACAAAGATAACATAATAACTGTGTCGCGCTATATCGTTTCTTCGAAAGCACACTATATGAACTGATTTTTAAACTGCCTTCGGAAACATCACGCGGATCTCACCGTGTATCTTCTTATCCTTATTTAACATTGGATGAACAACGCAAGGATAAAACGATACATGGAAGCATTCGGGTGATATTTTCGAACGCAGCCTTAGTAATGTTAAGTACATTTTGAGCACGCGCAATCGCGAGTTGTGAGTTCTCTCGTAACGTATATTTGTACGAACATACTTCAACTTTGGTAAGCCTGGATGAGCCTATCAGGACGGATCAACTTCCTCACGATGCTACATCGTCAAGCAGACTGGCGGATTGTTTTTATGCGACGGCGGTCCTGAAATTTGGGCGTGAGGTATGTTGCATTTGTGACGATCGACGATAACGTGGTAGACAGAGAGGACCCCATCTTCAGGATGTGCGACAATTTTTGGGAGCCACTAGCCGAGATCTACATCGCGGATCGCGAGGCCTCCCATCCTGATGATTATATTTACTGTCTTTGTAGCAGAGTATTTATCCGGTAAGCCCACTAGGTTGAGTGCACCATTGCATCTCTCTTTCATCCAAAACATCTTGGAAATGAAATATCTCATGCCGCATTTGTTAGGCATGCGAAACGTTATAAAGAATTTAACGTGTTTATTGATCAGCGTTGGTGTGAAGCATGATTTAACCTTGCCAACCTTTAACCCTACCATCGCGAGTGGCACGCAATGAATTTCGCGAATTAAATTTATCGTGCTACTCGAAAAACAATTCTTAATTAAAAAATGGTAGCGTTAATCTTTTTAATGGAAAGAAAAAGATAGGAGTTTGAGGCCCGATTGCATCAACGTTACTTTGACTTTAAGCATAGTTTAAAACACCCCTCTCTCTCTCTCTCTCTCTCTCTCTCTCTCTCTCTCTCTCTCGGCTTTAAGTTGCAATGTTACTTTAACTTTAAGCAAGGTTTAAAACTCTGTTTCTGTCTCTTTTTTCTTTAAAATGAGAGAGAGTTTTAAGCTTCGCTTAAAATTAAAATAACGTTAATGCAATCAGGCCTGAAAGAAATAGTTTAGAAGCAGACTTACTCTTGCTAATCATTTGTATTAATTTATAATTTTTGTGAATAAAAAGATAACATTATTTTTTGACAATGAAGAAATTCATTGAATTACATATAAAAAAGAAAGAGAAAGCTAATAAAAACTTAAGTAAAATAAAGTTTTTGTAATTCTTTTGTAATTCTATATCTAGAGTTAGTTCTATTAATGTCATTTAGAACTATCATGAATTTTATGTTCCTATCGTCGTTATTTTTTGTAGGAATCCTGAAGTTTATACTGTCTTAGCTTCAGAAGATGCCAGTGAAGGAGAAGATGCAGATGGGGATTATGTGGGAGAGATGCTAGATCTTTGTAAAGGATCTGGAGTAGAAACACAATCTCTTGAAAAGCATGATGTATGACATTCATTTATTTGTGATGATTTATTGATGAAGTATAGTTAATTGAAGTATAGTTAGTTTTTATTATTTTTACAGCATTAACTTGTTCGTTTGTTCTTTTTGATATAGGAAGAGCCAGTAAGCTGTTATTGCAGTGCTTCTCATACAGATAACAATTATTCTACGGACGAACATGACTCTGTACGCGATTCGGCTCATTGGCCCACTGCACATTCCTTGACCCAGAAATTAGGTCTGCATCAGTCTGATTCTGGTGCAGACTTATCTGAATATCATGATCAGCATGAAGCAAAAAGTATACAAAATCTTGTAGCATCTTATGGAAAAACTTTCCAAACTATAGAAACTGAAGTTGAAAATAATGATGAAAATGTGGATATGTTGACTGAGTATGAACATGTATTAGGTAATTGCGTTGTTAAAAATCTCAGATATCGTTTATAATTGTAATTTATTTAAAATTAAAATAAATATGTAATATTAATACTGTTGATAATGTTGATTTAACATTTTCTTGTGTCAGGTGATAAGGAATCAATGGTACAAAATTTATCAGATAGTACCACTATATTAAATACAAAAGGACACAACAAAGATCTCATTATACAATATGATTGTAACTCTTACGCTTATCCCTATTCTGCAGATTATGGCAGTAATAAGAATGCAATGGATGTAGCATGGGACAAGTTTTGGGCTAAACATGGAGAGCAATTAATTTGGGCATCCTGGATCGAAAAATACGCTGATTATATCAATCCTGAGTATTTTCAAAATAATGCACGCACAACAGAAGACGAAAAGTCGCAGGATGCAGAGATTAATGAAGTAGCCATAGAAAGATATTATGAGCAAAATACATGTTTCCCATCACAAGCGCATAAAAATTGCGAACTTGTACGTTCTAACTTTGCAGGAATTTTCAATAAGAGTTATTCGAGCGACAGCGAATTAAAACCAGCAGCCATATCTTCTTCGAATACTAGCTTTTCATTTGAACAAGTAAGTAGGCAAGAAGTTCATGACAAAGATGCAGATGAAAATAGGAAAAAAATCCTCAATTTCGAGATATCACCGGAAGATGGCGATGGTTGGAATCCGTTAAGCCCACTTAGTATAGAAGAAAATTATAATCATCATTCTAATGCAGAAGATGAAAGGTTACTAATGAGATGTGACTCCGTTAATGGCTCAATAACGAAAACGAACGCAACTTCCGATTCCATGACTAACGTTACTAAAATGACGTTAACTAGTTCCAGTTGTGATTCCAATTCCGTTCATTCGTCTAGTCTCGTTACTTCCGTTACAAGTTCCATAGAAAGCAGCATGACTAGTAGTTCCGATCAAGAAAACGAATTTTCAGTGGAAGACAACGACAAACATTGGCAGCATTTATGGAAGGAGAATTTTGAGACGCAATATCAAAAACAGTACGAATTGTTCATAGCTAATTATAAAAAAGAGCACAACATAGACTATAATCAATTAGATTTTAACACATTGAATGAGCCATGTGGTAATTCATTGAATGAACAATGTGATAATTCGTTCTTACTTCGACAAGACGAGATGGCGCTGCAATGTCAACAGGACAGACATAGCGAAGATCCTTTAGAGATTCACACCCACGTGAATAAAAAAAACGAGAACACGGATACTGTACAAACTTACTTACTTACACCAAATAAAGTAAGTGTCGGAAATAAAAACTCGCGAAAGGGCAGCAGCGTATCAGTGAATTCAAAATCCAAGAGCACAGAGAAACATAGAACACAAAGACTGATTATGGATTCAGTGGGTGTGCTTATGAAGAATTTAACAATAAGGGTAGAAGAGAATAAGTCGACTGATGTTGTTGAGGAAGAAGAAATGCATGAAAAATCACAACAGATTCATACTCAAGATTCGATAATTACTGAAAGCAAAATGGAAATAATTGATTCCAATAGTGATTTTAACAATAGTCGTCAACAAAAGTCTTCTGATGGAGGAGATGAATTTTACGAAGAGGTTCAAGAAATTTATAGACAAAGGTAAACAGTGTAATAGTAATAATGATATAGTAATACATTGATATATATTATAGTATAACAACAATACATGCTTGTGTGGCGTCACATTAGATTAGATGTGACTAGTTATTTTCTGTTATATAGCAATCAAAATTAAATAAATATAAGTATAGTAGAATATATAAAATTTATTTTTCTTTTTTATTTAGTTACAAAGCTGATTGTAATGATAATGAAGATGGTTTAGAAACTGTGAAAAAAGCCTTTTCATTAATGGGTTATGCCAATTTAATCGAGAATGAAAGCCAAAGAAAATTGCAAGGCGAAGTTGTTTATCGGAAACGTAATATTAGACGGCAAAGTTTCCAATTAATGGCGGAATTAAAACGGTTAAAAACTAAATATAAATGTACTCTTGATGATGCAGAAACACTCGTCAGATATACAAATAAGGTAAAATTTTTTCCTTAATATATTTGGTAGATTTACATATTTTTATGTAAAATAAGTTTTTAATTTTTTGTTATATATTTTTCAATATTATTTAAATTTCTAATTATACTACTGCATGTATATTGAAGCAAAAAGAGAGATGACATGCCCTATAATATTATAAATATTCAATTCAATTTTATATTCAAATATCTATGTTCTACATGATTAGATGTTACTGAAAGGAAGAGGAAAGAGAGAAAATATATATAAAATAACTAAAAAAACAAAATATATATTGCTATCTAAAAAAGTTCCTAGAAATATTCTTTCTTATTGGATACTATAAAGAATTCTAAATAGAAATTCTAAAAAGGATGGGAAAAGTATTAATGTATTCTTTGTAGCTGCACTGTTACAGTTTCTGTATTTAAAATAAAACGTATATAATCAATATTAATCAATATTAATCAATATTAATTCGAGAAAAAAGTAAAATGATTAACAATATAAAAAGTTTATTTGTATATAAAAGTATGAAGGAAGAGCTACCAAAAAATTATAGTTTATTTAATATTTCATATCAATGTGTCAGGATAAAGTATAAAATATCGTAAACTATTGATTTTTTTATATATTACTATATCTATTTATATTTATATCTACTTTAATAGTACTTTTATATGCAAAATAATTAGAACAATCATATTATGTATTTCATTAAAAAAAAAAATAAAGGCCACGTTGAAATCTTGGAGATACGTCTACCAAGAAAGGATCTGTGACTAAAGATGTCTCCCTCGAAACAAAATGAGTTCAACTTGAAACATTTTTTGGATGATAGGAGATAATGATAGGAGAGATAATTGTGTTCGCTCCAAATAGGATACGCTATACAATACATGTAACATCTATTATATTACAAAATCTTTCGCATTTTTCAAATTTTTCCCCTTCAAAGCCTATTTCATTTTCTTTGGATACCATAAATATATAATATAATGGCTCTGCGTTTGGCGGACTCAATAATTGAATGAGCGCTTGCTGTTATTGTATTTTTTTATCATCCAATTAGCATTGTAGATCTAGAAGAATCATCAATAGCAAGTGCTCACTCAATTATTGAATCCGCTAAACGCAGCCACTGTATCCTTTATCCTTATTCAATATTCGATGAATAAGAATAGTGATATATCACGCGTTTTAGACGGAATGTAACCTTTAAATGCAGAAAGTGCAACACAGTGCAGTTATAACAAGAAATAGAGGCTTATTTTTAGCTGAACTGCTTGAACTTTGTGCGCTGTTTAGCAAAAGAGCGAGATGAAAAAGTTTTAGTGCAGTTGAGTGCAACGATAAACAACACGTTTATTGTAAATTGTTGTGTTTCAAGTTTCAACATGAAACGTGTACATGTGTTGACGACGTGTGAATGTGAACCAGTAGAGAAACGAAAAAAGAAAAGAGAAAAAAACGTAGGCCATGACATCACTCTCGTCTCGTCTTTCGATCGTCAAATTTTTTATACTGTTTTTTATACTGTTTTTTTTAAATTATAGACAAACAAGTATTTGTCTTGTGATCCAGCATCAATACCAGCAGAAATCGATGTGCAATCTAATGATAAAGGTTCCTACACAAAGGTACAATCTGCTCTTACGTCGAGTTCGGATGATGAAGATAGCATAAAGATGATGCAAAGGAAAAAAAGAAGGAAGCAGTTCAAAAGGTTAAATAAAATCATTCCGAGAGAGATAGCCAATGATTATAGGTTAAGGAAATATTACTTCAAACGATTTGGTCTCTTCAGCAGATATGAAGATGGAATTAAGTTAGATCGAGGTATGTATCTCTGTGTATGTTTTTTAAAATGATAGATTTATTTATATACATATAATATAATGCAACATATATATATATATATATATATATACACACATACAATGATAATCTTTTTTTAGAGAGTTGGTTTTCTGTAACACCAGAGGAAATAGCAAAGGATATAGCAGAAAGATGTAGATGCGATACTATTATTGATGCATTTTGTGGTGCAGGCAGCAATGCCATTCAGTTTGCATTTACATGTGAAAGAGGTATATTTATCTATATAAAACTTTATGTTAAACAAAAATATATTTACTGATTGTATTTTACAGTAATTGCCATAGACATCGATCCTAATAAAATTAAGATCGCTCGGCATAATGCAGGAATTTATGGTGTAGATGATAGGATAGAATTTATTATTGGAGATTTCCTGCAATTAGCACCACAGTTGGTTGCAGATGTCGTGTTTTTGAGTCCGCCATGGGGCGGTCCTGATTATATAAAGAGAAAAGTATTTGATCTCGAAAGTATTATGCCTCCCATTGGTGGAAGAAGTATATTCGAAGCAGCAAGAAGAATCACTCAACATGTGGCCTATTATCTTCCTAGAAATTCAGACCCTCTGCAGGTAAACAATATGTTTGTAATAATGTAATAATTAAATAATTGAAATTGTGTAATTATGTAATTGAAATTACGATTTATTATGTAATGATATTTGTGTGTCTAAAAACAGATGTGTATAATTACAGATTATAATGTTAACTGAAAAATATGACAAAGTGGAAATTCAACAAAACATGTTCAATGGGAAGTTTACTGCTTGTACAGCTTACTATGGTGAATTGGCCAAGACGTAATTTAAGTGATGAAATAAGAAATATTTTAGTTCACATTTTTTCAGTTATTTCGACTTGCTTATCAGAACCAAATCGATACATTTCTTTTCAGTTAAGAAAGTATTTTAATTCAACTCTGTGAGAACTGAAAATGTACTATATACTTGGAAGGATAATGTAATTTATATTTTACAACTTCCAAATTCTATTAACTTACATTTTTTATGTACGTTCTTCCATATATACATATATAATTTTAATTTTAATAAATATATCTCTAAGAAAGTACGATATATTTAAAATTTTTTATTACTTAAGAAACTTTCACGAAATTTTTAAATGAAACAATGTGAAAATTACTTAATTTTTAATTGTAATGGAGAAATGTATTTACAATGTGAAATGAAACAAAAAAAATCTGAATATGGAAAAATAAAGTTTTTGAAATAGCAGGAAAATAATGGATCTGAAATAATTTTAATATACCATACATTATCAGATTGTACAATAAGCTGTAATTGTACAATAAGTTGTAATTTGATTAATTGAGTAAGAATAATTAAAAATGGAGGTCATAAAAAATAGTAAAAACAAATTTTCGAAATTCTGTAACACAATTATTTATTTTTAATTTCATTTAAAAAAAATTATAGTTATTAAAAACATTCTCAAATTTAAATCAGAATTAATTCTATAATATACGTTTCCACACGTGGAAAAAATATCACATAAATTTCCATCAAGACATTAATCTTATTGCTTTTTTTTGAAAAAAAGTTTTATAACATTGACTAGCTTTTTTTACTTGTTATCATAATGTATAATATTGTGTCACTTGCTTAATTGGAGGACATTTCATTCGGCATTAATTACTATTTTACATATTGTAAATTTCATGAATCAATATCGATATTTGTTACATTTGTTTCTTCAATATCACTAGTTGCTATGTTCGTCTCTTCAATATCAATGGTTCTAATATCTCTTTCTTCAGGTTCTGCAGGTATCGTTATACCACCAGTGTCTATACTTTCTTCTTCTTCTCTAGGAATTTTTAAGAAGCAATGCATTGTTTCATCATCTTCTTGCTCAATAGAATCATTTTTGTTTAAACTTTCTCTTGTTGATAATGAACCTTGAAGATGTTTCGATGGTATTTGTATCGTGATGGTTTGAGAAGTACCATCAGCAGATGTTGAGGAAGACATCAAATTAGCTTCTAATGTATCTCCATCTTTCGAAAAGGCACCTAAACAGCTATAAACTAATTGCGCTGCCGCAATATTACCAGGAAAGACTTCAACATTCTCGTTATCTATATATAAAAAAAACAGTAAAGAAGTTTAAATAAAGATATCTATTAAATAAATATCTATTAAAGAATTGTAAGCAGTTTAACAAACTTTAATGTTACCTTTTTTTTGCACATTAGATTTTATTAAACCTTTTTCATGGTCACCTAAGTGCTGGATGTAACTTTCATTTTTAACCGTTTTAAAAGGACACAGATCGCATGTAAATAAGCCAGACAGCAAAGGATGCCTCGATTTTAAATGATTTTTATAACTACTGCTCTGTATCGCGCTATATGAGCAATGTGGACATTTATATGGTCGAAATCCTGTGGTGTAAAAAATTAAGTTACTCCATAATAATTAATTTTGGATGTAATATAACTCACCTGTGTGTTGCATAATATGCCGTCGTAAGGTATTATGATCTCCAGTTTTGTAATCACAAATCTCGCAGCTGAAAGGTTTATCTCCTGTATGTTGACGTAAATGCATTTGTAACATTGCCTTTCTGGCACTAGCATGACCGCAAACGTTACAAACGTATGGACGTAACTTGGAATGAACAGCTTGAATGTGATTCTTTAAACATTTTGAATTCGCATATGTTTTACCACACATGTCGCATGTCTTAGAAGTATACCATCGAGTTACTTCTAATGTTTTGCGATCTAAATGCATTATGCGATGATTACGTAACTGGCTAGCTTGTTTGAAACATTTCTCGCAATCGGGACATTTGTAATCACGAGTATCACTGTGTACCCTCATGTGCGTCAAGAGTTTTACCATGGTAGCACTTTTGTAGACTTTACAAATTTTACAGGTAAACAAGCCTATGTCTACATAAAAGAGAGTACGTAAAAATGTGAATTTTTAAAATTTTTTCTTATATTATTTATCTTATATTTACAAACCAATTTGGTGCTTCTTCCATAAATGCAAGTTACATTGGCGCCACTTCGTAAACTTCATATCTCGACATATGGTACATTTAAATGTTGTTGCAGTTTCAGATTCTGTATGGTAAAGAATATGTTGCTGCATAATTTCTTCCGAGGCGAATTTGTATTGGCAGCCCTGATAAGAACATCTTGCGAAAATGGCACGTTTAAATATAACAAATAAAAGATTTCTTCTACATAATACATATTTTTTGGAAAATTACATACTTGACATTTCTTTCCGCTGACTCTATCATTTTCCTATTACGCATATATTCTGAATTTAAGGTCTTCGAAATTTTTACTGGATCTTTTTCTGCTTTGTTGCTTTCGATATGTTGAGCCTCATGTTCAGTTACCAAGCTAGGATTCGTTAGGTCTGTCAAATTTTCTTTTCCAGCCTCATCACTCGCAATGTCTGTTAATTGATGATCCTAGAAGAAATTTCTATCACATCGTCCAGATAAAAGTAGCCTACCTTTTAAAAATTAAAATTTAGGATGATTACATTAATCATGTGTTCTTTACAATCCTCAAAAGAATGGAAGCAGTTGGAACACTCCGCACACATATAAACTATTTTTACTTCATCCATTTTAGATTCTTCCTTTGGCTATATATAATAATAAAAGTAAGCCAATTTTTATATTGCATTATAACCTTCTGCTAAGCAAAATACAGTTACTTTGATTAAAATTGTGTGAACTACAGTTGACGTCTAGAGATCTACTTACTGTAATATCTATAGTAGAATTTAAATGTAGTTTCTGAATGTGATCTAATAATTGCATCTTGTCCTGAGACAGATAAGTACACATCTTGCATTTAAAAGCAGTCACAACTTCTAAGAAATTATCGACGTTAACGTTGTCATCTTGCCTAACGAGATCTTTCACTGCTTCCTCTGTAGCGACTTCGTATTGCTCCTCAGATTGTCTGTATGGACTTTCGATTACTATATTCTCATTCTTGATATAATTATTTTCGTTATTTTCCATATTCTTTGACATCAAGAGTGCCTTTTCATTGTAACTCGTTTGTTCTATAGATTGCAGATTGGTACCCACCTCTTCAATTACTCCATTTTTAATTGCATATACCTGTCCATTCAAACACACTAATGAAATCGGTTCTTCTCCACTGTCCAATTCACTTCCCTTAGCAATATCAACTGTAGTTTGTTCTTCACTCACTGCTGAATTCTTCATAATGTCTGTCGATGATGGTGCAAGTTTATAAATGTATCTTGTACCATTTATGTCATAGCTTAAGTAGGATATGTCATTCATTTCTTCACTCATTGCTGATGAAGAATCGTAGAATAATCTGATTAAGTGTCAACACAAACGTTCCAAGATGTTTACACAATTAACTTAACTAGAATGTTACTCGCAACACAATTTCAATCCATGAATCACTTCGGCTAAAATCTGTCGGTTAATATCCTTTTCTCTTGTTCTTAAAAAAAATTCTAATTTTATGTTACATCTTATATAAACTCTGTTATATAAATAGATTAATATTATGAGTTCCAATTTAGAGTTTAAACAGTCCTTATCGAGATGGTGAACGCGATAAATTCGGATTCGTTTCAATATTCGCTAATTATATCCATTGTAAAATACGCGTAAATGTTCATATATGTACATGCAACCTCAATACGGAATGATGAGGTTATCTCTGCGAACTCTAGACACTATTCGAGACACGCCTCCGTCTCCGCGGAGACAAATCGGGCACCACGCGCGATGAAGTTGAAGCGAAGAAAACGAGAAGATATATTCGCGAAGATATTCGAATTCTATTCGAATTCAAAATCGTGTCTCACTTAACACCTCGCACACGGCGTCTGGTTCGAGATTTTCGGCTACGGTGATTACGCTGGTGCGCGGGAACTGCGGGAAGTAACGAGAGAATCGCCGGTGAGGCGACGCGCGAAAACACGGATTTAGTGGCGCGAACCTCTCTCATTCTGCCTGGAGCGGAAGTTATCTTGTATCACTTTTTGCTGAGTTCAGATTCCCACTTGAGTCACCCAAGTATCACTCCATCCTTGTTGTTTATCGTATATAGACAGAGATGACATGATACTGAAGCACCTAGATGGGAATCTAAACACATCTTTACATATGATAGGGATAAGCAGGAGACCATAAGTTTGTTCTTTTCAGCTAAAGTTTTATTCTTGCTTCATCCTTCTTCCTTTTCTCTCCATGTTGAAGAGAAAAAAAGGAAAAATGAACCGTGAAAATTCTAAAAGAAAAGCCTAATGTTAACATACATAAGCATATTCAGGGTGTTTCTTTAATATTCGACAATTTGCAATCACAGATCTTCCTGTCATGGGTGCGTAAAAAAAAAATTATAGTTTATGTGATGTGAACTATAGATTTTCAGTACTGCAGTAAATTTGGAATACAATAATGTTTTGAATCCTCGATTGTGGAATGCGTTGAATTTCGAAGAATTATCGTAAAATTAAAAATATTGATATTTTAAAATTAAACATACATATATTAATCAACTTAAGCTTGTTTAATAACATTATGATTTTTGTATATACTGTACATTTTGAATAGTTCATACAATATTATATGTATATTTACTTTATGCATATATTATATGTATAATTATAGATACTACACAATTATAATTACAATTTCTCAGAATAAAAAAGATACAAAAATGATATATTTTAAGGACTTGCTGTATTTTGTCTAGAATGTTTGGGAGTTCTCTCTGCATTTTGTCTAGCAATTTCAGGAAAGAATTGCGAGTTATATTTTTGTTTTATAGCAGGTTTAGGAATTTCTGGTGTTACAACGGGCATTGGTTCACCCCTCACTTT